GTTTGTTGGGATTGGTGACATCACAGAGCTTGAGAATCTTTGTCTTCTTTACCCTTCCATTAGTAGCTAGCATCAGCAGCTTCAACTTCTGTCACCACCCAATCTTCAAATGCATACCAGTTGTTGGAATCATTTGCTACTATCATCTGAAGGATGTTTTCATCAAACAAGAACAAGAATAAATGCTCCAACCCCTCCACCTTATTAGTGCAGCCATCCAATGAATTGCTTACAGCACGGGCGTGACCTGGGGTGGTACTGGTGGRCATTGGAAGGAGGATACCAAGGGACACCACCCAGCATACTTTTTGATGATCAGATATGGATCCATGGTCATCTTGGGTGGGGCTCCTAGTACTATAAGGGTGCAGGCCACCACCACTGTTGTCAGACAGGTCTGCATCMTTCTTAGGAGTATGACCATAAGGTAGTACGAACAATTGTTGTCAAGAACCATCACACAGAAAAAGAATCATCATCATCCATCTTATTAATATGATTATTTTATGTTGGTAAATAKGATGGTTTGGTTTATAGTTTATATTCTGGTATGGAGTGTTTTATATTTTCTTGGTTGGATATTAGAAGCAGAGAAATGAATGAGCAGAAAAGGTGTTTTATATATAAAGTAATTGTTTTAAACTCTTCATGGTATTTCAGTCTTATTTTGTGTAGGATTTGTACTGTAGTCTACACAAGTGAAAATCATGGAAACAAAAAAAATCCAAAAAATGCACGATTTGGGCGGAGACGGGAAAAAGTTAACTTCGCGCTACTTTTTCCCAGGAGCACAAAATTCGTGCCAGAAAAAAGACGACAGAAAATATTGTCGTCTTTTCCATGCGGTACAATTATTGATTGACATGAAGAAAGGATTGCCAAGGCTCTATTGCAATGCAAAATTGCACCACGTACTTGTGTCTAGTATCTACCATCACGCAATAGCATCGATGCCTATGGACGATGGTCATTGATAATCGGCAACATCATAGGRAACAAATTTCTCGGATAAAGGACAAGATCATCAAGAGTCGTCGTCAGTCTTCTTCGTTGCCAATATCATCATCCACACTAGCAGCATCGGTMAAGCCGAAACCGACAGATGACGATCCAACCAGCTGCTTCACGTATTCCATTCGACCCGATGGTATGGTTCTGGGTGAAACTTTGTGGAAACAACGGAGGCTGGAGAATAAGCCCTTCGGATTCATGGACGAGTCTTCCATCCGGGAACTGGCTGCGTCGCTGCCGCCCTCTCAACAGCGACAGCTTTGCCACCGCGCGACCGACATATCGCTAGCGAAGATAAAGAGCCTGATACAGAATTCGATTGTCCAGTACGAGAAAGCATCGTCCCTTCCAATAGAACCGAAGGACTTCGAGCACAAGCACAAACCATCGCTGACAACGTCCTCGTCATTGCCGCCTTCAATCCCGTCCAATGCTTTGAACGATTTTTGCCCTCCACGGGAACAGAAAGAACAACCAAACAACGAAAATTCTGTGCATTCCAAAGAAAATACCATGAACCAAAAGCTGAATCATGGTCAATACAAWCCTTCCGAGACTCCGGAGCATACCCCTTCTGGTCCTGGTAACAATTTGCGGAGTAGCACATTTGCAAGKGGGGAAGCAGCAAGGGCACCGCAAAGCACTATACCAGTATCTAACAATTACTTCGGCGATCCGTGTGAAGAAGATGAATTTGATGGCGATGACGTTTTTGCTGATTTCGACGTCGATGAAGCTATTCGAGAGCACAACAAAAATAGTTCTGCAACCAATAATTCGCCGTCTTGTGGCAGTGCTGCTAGTAGAATGACGCGTCCAAAAATTACACGATCCGTTGACCTGGCCGACCACCAGAATTTCGGCAGAGAGTCATTCTCCTATGGAAATCATACGGATTCTTACGATGAAAGAAGGGCAAACAATAACGATGGTACCAATCGTGATCAGAATGGTTATTCGTTCGAAGACCGACATCACCGCAACTCTGCGTCAAGCTATCAGCAGCAACAGCATACAAGCTGCAATGATCCAAGTGGTTATTCTTCAAGTGCCTTTGATAACAACTTCAGAAGTGATATTCACTTTGGTTCCTCCGGAGAAAAGTACAATCATTACAATGGCTCTGTCGATACCCACCAGAATAATTCTATGGTTGATARTTACGGAAACGACGGAGAGACCCCGAGATGTCCTGGACACGGTCTTCCTTGCCGACTGCTAACAGCAAATACTTCTGCCAACATGGGGCGAGAGTTTTTCAAGTGCTCGCTGCCAGAGGGCGAAAACTGTGACTTCTTTCAATGGAAGGACGGAATGGAGGGAAATTGGAACAACAGTTTTGCAGAAAGTACCTGCGTCACAGCTTCCGGTGGAACGATTCTGAACATGCGCGAAGAAAATCGAAGAGTCTTTGGACATAGGTCTTTTCGGAAAGGACAGGAGGATGTGATTCAAAATGCTATTCAAGGAAAAGACGTCTTTGTTTTGATGCCGACGGGGTATGTTCTAACGTATTATCTACAATTGTGACCATTGGATTGTTGAATTTGTCCCTCATCATTGCTTCCAATCTCTAACCATATGGAATTACTTCGCACCGGTGAACMCAATTCAGCGGTGGAAAATCTCTATGCTATCAGCTACCTGCGTGGTGCTGTCCCGGACTTTCAGTGGTAGTTTCTCCCCTACTATCCTTAATTCAGGATCAAGTACAATCGCTCCTCAAAAACGGAGTCAAGTCTGTCTTTTTCAGCTCCGCCCAAGACTACCATAGCGAGCAAGTCGATATCAATCGCCAGCTCAACGAGACAACTGCACACGGAGGTGTCAAACTTCTGTATCTGACACCCGAGAAACTGAGTCATTCGAATCAAATGCAGTCCATTCTTCGYCGATTACACAACAAAGGGCTGATCAGTAGATTTGTCGTGGACGAGGCACATTGCTTGTCGGACTGGGGGCATGATTTCAGGCCGGACTACAACCAACTGGGTCGCCTGCGAAGGGACTATCCCGGTGTTCCMCTGATGGCCCTCACTGCAACCGCCAGTGAAAAGGTAGTAAATGATGCTGTTCGAGCGCTTGGAATGAGGAACGAATACAGGTACAAATCTTCTTTCAATCGGCCGAACCTTCGCTATGAGGTTCGAAAGAAAGACGGCAAAGTAACCGATGCGATTGCCGACATCGTTGCTAGGCGACCTAATGATTCTGGGGTCATATATTGTTTAAGTCGAAAGAATTGTGAACAACTTGCCGAGAAGTTACAAACAAAATTAAGGGAAAAAGGTTGCCGTAATGTACAGGTGTCGTTTTACCATGCAGACCTTGATGCCCAAGAAAGGGAACGTCGMCATAAGCAATGGAGTGTTGGGCGAATAAATGTCTTATGCGCTACCGTTGCCTTCGGTATGGGTATCGACAAGTAAGCTATTCGGTGGAGTTCTCGCTATACTTTTCGTCATTTTTCTTGTTATCCCTAATATTTTGATCTATTCATTCCTCCCTTATATCTCTTTGAATAYGCGTTACTACATGAATCCCTTTCAATCTATTTTAGGCCCGACGTTCGATACGTCATACACTATTCTATGCCAAAAAGTCTCACACATTATTACCAGGAAAGGTACGCCTGCTAGACGAGTGACGATATTTAWAGAAATTCATCTCTAACTTTTGTTTCACCTTGTCRACTAAACAATTATTACAGCGGTAGAGCCGGCCGGGATGGAGAAGATGCCGAATGCATTCTTTTCTACTCTTACAAGGACAAACAGGTTTTAGAAAAGATGATACGCAATGGTAGCGATGATAAGTACAACCCAAGCATTCGCCGGAAGGTTGATCAACTGTACAGATGCGTGCAGTACTGCGAGAATGAATTCCGTTGCCGAAGAACTATGCAACTAGAATTTTTYGGAGAAAAGTTCGACAGAGCGAAATGCAATCAAACCTGCGACAATTGTAGAGCCGGAAGAATTCCGGACGAACGTGATATGACAACGGAGGCCTTAGCGATCATTRATTTATTCAACAGCGCGAGCAATCAAACCAGAAAAGGTATCACAATGTTGCAACTATCGGAACTCTACCGAGGTTCAAAGAGCAAGACAATCACAAGAAGCTATCCCGTAAACAGAATAGAAGGTTTTGGAGCAGGCTCGAAATTCAAGAAACACGATATAGAAAAGATAACTCATGGGATGGTCTTTGAACGAATTTTGGTGGARACTAGTGTTGAAAACAAAGGAGGATTTACTTCAGACTATGTCACTTTGGGGGAGAAAGCAGCTTTGTTGCAACGAGGATCTGAAAAGTTTGTAGTCGARTTCCCTAAAAAAGTAACTGCCCAGAGGTCAAATCCTGAAAAACAGAAAAACCAACAGTCAAAGAAAAGAAGCAGAAGTAAGGATATCGAAAGTTCGAAATCTAAGAAGAAACATTCGTCTAAGAAGAAGGAAAGAGAAGATGTGAATTCTGGTGGGTTGCACTTTTCAGAAATTGTTGATGATTCGGAAGACGATGATGACAGCCTACAAGACAGCACAAATGCYAACTCTACCAACACGCAATCTGTGCTCCCTCCTCACCACACAAATAAAATCGTTGAAATGCTGAAGACACTAGTGAAGAGGTGGGCAGATGAAGAACAGATGATGGGGAACCACGTGTTTTGTAAGTTTGAAATTGTTTGTCAGTACGCTGCTAATTATATTTTGCATTGAAACTTTTGAAACCAACGATTGCAAATTGCAAAACTTCTGCTCGTTTGTACTATTGTTGATATAGACTGGCACATTCTTTCGGGGGGAGAGGTCAAAGCAATTGCGTCACATGCTCCAATGACAGTTGACGAACTGAAAGCGATTGGTATCCTTTCGGAGAAAAAGTTGGAAGAGTATGGAGCTCGTATTGTGAAACCAATTAAAATGTACGTGAAAAAAGAGGGTTTGGAGGAACAAGTTGCAAGAAAACTTCCAGCAACAAAGTCTTTAAATGGAAAGGTATCCAGAACAGATGCAAACCAAATAATTGAAATTGTGGACGACGACGACGATGAATTTGCAAATGGAATTGACTACGATGCAATTGATTTGGGATAAATTGTTCAGTCAAAAAATATCATTTGGTGAATCTGTCACATTTCTCTTTGTMTAACTACTCTAGTACTACTAGTAGCATGAATGAACATTGGAAGACGTGGACGCCATATCTATTTACGATTGGTGATTATGTATGAGCAGTAGTAATACTTATCATAACCATCTATCATTATCATTCTTCTGCATCAAGATTCTCAGTGAGTCCTTAATTTTTARTTTMCSTTCTCTCGAACAAGCACATGACATATCGTGACTTTGTACAGTATGAACGTACTACGTACAGTGTTACAAGTACGTACGTACGAACGATATCTTCCATTCTACAGTAGKAACAAGTACGAGTACGGAAGATGAAAAATGTACTACTATTGCATYTTGACACTTTTTCAGCACAAAAGGACGGTTCGACACGTGGATCTAAGCCATAGTTCCATCATCACACTTCAAGTTTAGAAGAGTGAAGATTTTTTCTGTTCTTTCCCTTCTACTGTTTCAATCGTTGGATATCCGGGACAACTTTCTTTCCAGCGTACGGTACCGCAATACAATTTTGACAACTATACCGTCTCGGTCTTCTATGGTAGATTTCGTCAATYTCCGTTCCGCATTATCTATTTCCACCAGGAAACGACGTCAATCATTAAACTACCGGGAAAGTATTCTTTGAATCTCCCTCCACCAATAAGCAAAATAACAAACCAGCATTTCGATAGGAACGACGACAAAGTTGTCGAGCTCCATACACAATAATAATAACCATGCTGGTATCCTCGAAAGTAATGGCGGCATTTTTGCTGGGGGCTGTGGCACCATCAACAACGAATGCATTCGTAACGAAAGCGTCGTCGGCATCGATTCAGCGGCAGAATGATGTGTCATTAAATGTACTTCCTCCGCTTATCATCGGACCAATGCTTAGAAAAATGAAGGAAGAAAAAGCGAAGAAAAATGCACCGATGGCGACTGAGGCAGACCTACAAGGGCAGGCGCCCGGATTGCGGGTCGGAGGAAGCACTTGGAAATGGCCCGCGGTGTGGCCCTATGATCAAAACTTTTTCACTCCGACCGAGGATATTCCAAAGCCAGCTGCAGGTCAAAATGCGATGGCGCAGATGATGACGGGGGGAGCCCCTGTTCCGCCACAACCGCAGGTTATCGAAGTTGAAAAACTCGACCCYATTGAATATTGGCAGGTTGAGAAAGCCGACACCAAGACCGAAATGGACGAAGAAGCTATCGCAGAATTGAAACGGTGAGTATTATTCTGGATTCTATGCTTGTTGTATATGATTATGATGCGACGCGGATTATTTCCATAGATGGACTTGTAAAAACTCATCGAACGGATGTACTCCTGTTCACGTGCAACTCTCTGTCACCAGTCACTACGGTTTCTATCTCAAGGATGGTATGTCCGTTCTAGAGCTAGGTGCTGCCGAAGAGTCTTATCTACCGGATGGTATCAAACTTTCACGTCATGTGGGTGTCGGCTTGAGTGATAAACTAATGGGCGAGAACCCATCTTTGACAGACAAGCTGATTGTCGATCTAAATAAAGTTATAAAGGATGGTGATGTCGACTCTGATGAACTACGCAAACTTGCAGAAGAACCTTTTGACGCAATCATTATGGCAAACACCGCTGAATTCCTAATGCATCCGAGAGAAGTATTTAAGACTGCATGGTTCCTGCTCAAACCCGGAGGTGAATGTTTCAACGCCTTCGGAACGAAAACAGCGTTTGGTGACAAATTTGAGCGAGCACAAACTCGCATGTGGCGGGACTACAACGACGATCAGCATATGTGGGTCGCTGGGTCGTTTTATCAATTCAGTGCCGGGGATGGGTGGCAAAATGTGAGGGGCTTTGATATTTCACCAGAATCCGCGAAAGAGAATTTTGGGGAAACAGGGCCACTAGATTTCCTCAACAACCAAGGAAAAGACAATAACATCTACGTTGTTCAAGCGACCAAAGGATATCAGGATGATTCGATAGACGAGTCAGATCCTGCCAAGTCCATCAACTCAAAAATGTGGATGTTGCCTACATTGGAAGACCGAGACAAAAAACTTGTCGTGCCTCGTTTGGGGAGATCTTACACTGTGTTGAAAAACCCCAAACGAAAAGATGCCATTAGGGATCACATCCAATATCTCCCCAAGATTTATGAAGCACTCATTAAGATGGATGCCTTTGCTTTCACTTTTGAAATGCAATCTCAGCTCGCAGCTGACCTAGTTCTTGATCCTGACTTTGACGCAAACGACGAGCAAATCAAAGCTCTGAAAGAAGGTACGTTCGGAACCAAAGTCAATGTGGCAAAATTTGATTGATTTTACTTTCTTTGCAGGCGGCAGCTCACCAATATCTTTTCTCATTCTTTCATCTCAGGACTTGGATTGCGAACTCCATCGAAAGAATTTTGGGAACCGGTTGGACAGCTTACCGGTGCGATGGATATAAATGATAAAATTAATCTTCTCTCTTACATCGTCCCACGTTTTGGAAGTGGCGATGAGAAACAGGAGGCCGCATTGCTGGCGTATGCATCCGGTTTGAAGCCTACRTTTGATACTTTACGATCGAAGTGTCCGGATATGCCGGAATCCGATATTCAGCTTCTAGGAACCGAATTGTTGAATGCAGATATTCTCATTCCCGACAGATCAACGAAGGAAGAATTTGCCGCGTGGCTAGGAGCAATGAATGCGGACGAAATGAAGTCGATTCTTTCGGTTCGAAAGGGACTGAACGAAGAATCTGATACCCAGCTCAAGGCTTTCAAGAAACAACAGAAAGAAGACGAGGAGAAACGGGCGGAGATTCGAAAAGAGTACGAGCAACAAGTGAAAGACGCGAGAAAAAACCGAACCATCATTTTCAATCCAGCAACGGGAAACTTCCAAGAACTAGAGAAACAGAAGAAGCTGTTTTAATTTTCATTATTTGAACAGACTTTGAACAACAGAACTTAAGTTTCAATTTGAATTCATTTTTTTTGTCGCTACAATTCCCGTGTTGTGATATATACAATTTCGTTTTTAAAATTATTCAGTCGTACGGTAGGTCTGGTATTTTAGCAATTTTTTGCTTTCGTTGGGAAYTCTTGGACCTCTGAAAGAGCTTAGAGGGCCGTTTGAGATTCGCCCGTACTTCAATCCAGCAATCGCCATTACCAACACGTGCATCACTTTTCACCTCTTCACGTCGAGAAACAAGAACATTTGTTGATTGAAGTTCTTCAAGTGATCCCGCAAGCAAAGAATCTTGCGCTTCTGCAAATGCACTCGAAACTGCTGTTCGAGGACAGTACCTTACGTCGAGGCCTAGAAGATCCTTGTGCAACAACATAACCTGACCGTGGCTAGGACYCAAACCACCGTATCCAATTTTAGCTTCTAGAAACCCAAAAGTTCTTATCCTAGTTGAATCTTCAGGTGATTCGCAGTGGAAAATGAGTGACGGAGAAGGAAGTCTTTCATCTTCAGGTGCCGTAGGAAGTGGTCGAATGCACGTTTTACTGTTGGGCCATTCATAAACTCCAACTGCTGGCATCTTTGTTGGCGCATGAGCGAGCTCTGATATCAATGTGGACCCATCTCTATATACCGCATAGTCGAAATGTGGGACGACGATCTCCTTCAGAAAGATCGATGAAACATCATCATGTGCTCTGTTCGACTCGCTTTTTGGTGATGCGGAATCCCCGGGGTTCTTCGGTTGTCTGGGTATCGACAAAAGAGGCAAACCGTCGTGCGATATGCTTCTCAGTAAATCCTTAGCGGTCAARCTCCCCTTGATCGAAGCTTTGAAGTTTAGAATTGTACGATTTAAGGCAGTCTCTTCGCTGAGTCTAGACGCGAGGAATTCCGTAAAGTCATCAACAACGGAATCACCTTTCAATTGCCCACTGTCTGTAATTCCAAGTAACGCGAATGGTTTTTCTCCGGTCTTTTTTGGTGCATCTAGGTTCCCAGGAGAACAAAAGTGAACAATAGTTCCAGAAACTGGACATCTGGCACCTACTGATGCCCATGAGCAGGGAAATCCGGATATTGCGGACTTGAAAGTGTTTCTCGGTGAGTTTTCTGCAAAACCGCCATCGTCGGGAACCGCAGAAAAGTAATCCATATTTCCTACAGCAGAGAGCAGAGACGCCGCCTTCTTGGATGCAGAAAAAGATGGAGATAGAATAGAGATGATTGGCGCTTGTAGCCGTGTAGTTCGAAACATATTGAGAACCGCCCGGGGAGGTCAAACAGTCACATGAAATACCGCGCAAAGAGGATTTGATTTCTAGCGGAGTCAGTTCCAAAGTGAACTTTTCTCGGAAATTTGCGCGTAAGGAAAAAAAATAAAGATCCGATCTCTTTCGCTGCTAGGGAGTATTAAGTGCGCCAATTGTGTGGTAATGCATTCATTATTTGTCACGAAAGTGTAACGCTGTGATTGAAGATGAAAGAAGATAGAAACATAAAATACGCGGACGTTTCATTCTAATTACTGATGAGCTTCGATGAGACTGTCCAGTCCAAAACTACTGAACCATGAAGAAAGAATGTTGTCGTGGTAATAAATACAGTTCGGTGTGAGTCCAGGAAATTTCGAAGCGCACGAACTGAAGTGTGCAAAGCGCATGCTACGTACGGGTACCAGTTACGTACGACTACGAGCACGTACGTACCTTGTCGTTTCAATCATCATCCTGAAGATAACAAAAATCSAAAACAATTCAGTTTCGATTCGGACTTTTTGGATTCCCACCAGAAAGACAGTATCTATCCTCCTCCACTATTGGGTGATTCCCGTAAACATAGATTTATGTAAAGTTGAATTAGATGTCAGTCGTGCACACATAGAAGTATGTGTTTTTGACACAGATACATAGATTTTTGGTACGCGCAGGCTCTCGACAACCAAAAAGTATGCACACACATAGATTTATGTAGGAATCCTCGATTCAAAAATTCATTAGTCACGAGGACGAGCAACTGACAGCCACCACCACCAGTTCTCAAGTGTCAAGAGCCGGGGGAGCCCGCCAAAACAAATCTAAAGTGTCACAACTGTGTCAGTGTCACAAAATCAAGCACGCCAAAACAAATCTAAAGTGTCATGATTTAAGTGAACATGGGGTTGGTTGGGTTTAAGATCGAATGAAAAGATAGTAGCTGTAGCAGCATCAAATGGGCATCGATGCTTGCTGACAAATTTTGGATCATTAAAAAGGAACATCGAACCAATGCGACACACTCAAGGACCACGACAATCATGTCACTCAAGTTCATCATCCTTTGTGTAGCTCTCCACAATGAGCTGGAGAAAGAACTGTCTCCAGAGGAGAGGCATAGAAGGGATAGGAGAAACCCAAGGATTTCCATCCGGAGATGGAATCAGTCTCCATTCCTCCACTTGTATAGTTCCGGCAATGAGCAGGCCCTCCTGCACTGTTGTGGTGTGGATCACACTGTCTTCAGAGGTCTCATGGAACTCTTTGCACCAGTATTCAACATGTACATGATTGATGAGGCAACAGGGAAGATTAGGATGAGAAGCTTCCACAGGAATGGAATGCCAAAGGGCYGACATAGGGAAGCAAATGCAACATGCTGTCTTGGGTTAACACTGCACTGGTTCAGGACTCGGGGATCAGTTGCAAGAGGGCTGTCCCTGGCGTTTGGTCTTACATCCACAGTGCTGTACAAGTGGATCAAGTTCTCCAGATGTGTTCTCCTCTACGTATTGCAAGACCATCCGGATGCGAGGGCCAGGGCTCCTGCCAGAGAGGATGTTGATGCTTATATTGAGGCTATTGGAGAAAAATACCCACTCCTTTAACAACAAAGAGTATGGGGTGCTGCTGATGGCCTCAAGCTTGGACTGCAGACCTCAGGGAACTGGGCAGTACAGAACATGTACTGCTACAATGGATGGACATCCAATACGTATGTCAACAGCCTCTTTATCTTTGCCCCTGATGGCAAGATTAGAGCTACTACATTCAACTGCCCTGGATCGTGGYATGATAGCACCATGTCCAAGTATGGAGTCTAGAGGAAGATGGAGGAATTGTACCACTTGTACGGAGCAAGAGTTGTGGTTGATTCAGCATTCCAACTGTCCGACAGGCCATACCTTCTTGTAAGGAGCTCCCAACAGGATCCAGACCTCCAGGAGGCAGCAGACACAAGAGCTGCTAGAGCTGCTATATCCCTTAATCGTGAGGCTACTTCATTGAGACAGCTTGCTGAGTGGGGCATGAGGATGATCCAGGGACAGTTCCCRAGGCTGAAAGATAGTAGAATCAGGTTTGAGGACCAAGGTGAAAGGAAGATTCTCCTGAACACAGCAATCTTGCTGTATAATTATCAGGCCAGCACTGTTGGCATCAATCAGATCCTTAATGTGTTCATGCCAGATCATGAGGTGAACAAAAGGGGCTTCTTTGCCCATACTGTGACAATCAATGAGGATGCAAACAACTTGTCTTGGTGAGATAGAGTCGTCGTCGTGGTGAGATATGATAGCCGCAACACCGATACGATAGCCGCAACAACAATACATCGATACATCCCAGCATGAAGAACATAAGCAACACAGCAAGAACACACGCAACACTGACAAGCAACAACAATACATTGATACATACCGACATGCAGCAACAACAAGAATACATCGATGCATACTGACAAGCAGCAACAACAATACATCAATACATACTACCAACAAGAACGCAACACTGACAACGCAGAAGATTCCCATGGTCAACACCCAACAACCTACCATTTTTAATCAATAAAGCAGCACAAATCTACACAGGTTCAAACTAATTCATACAATGAGCTCTTCATGGTGGAGGAGCAGCAAGCGCAGCAAAGAGCAAAGCTACGCGATACACCATGTTAAGTTGGATTTTGTACACGATATTTACTGTTGAGGCGTTGAAATTCATAAGAAATATTCGTGTTGTATACATTTATGATCACAAAGATTCCCTTATAGCGAGGCGGGAATAGAACAATAAGAAATATTCATTTTGTATATAATCAATAAAAGCAATGCATGTTGGATATGCCATAACGAGGCAGGAATAGAACAATAAGAAATATACATGTTGTATAAACCAATTATTGCAAGATTTGGTGGGACATAAAATCAACGTCTGTTGAGTTCTTAGGCGTCCGTTGACTTTGGAAATATATGGAAGACTGTGTAGAAACAGTACTGAACAACACAAGCTAACGCGTAGGAGTTATTCGAATCCTCCACTAACTCTTGGCTCCATAACACAGCAGTCAGTATCAGTATGAACCAAATGGAAGATGTGAATTAAAGTAGTGATTAGTAAGATAAAGTTAATGTAGTTAAATGTAAACGTGACAATGGGAATCGACAATGGGATTTGCTGGTGCTAATCGGAATCGGAATCCTTGGAATCATCGCTGCTGTTGTTGCTTCTCCTGGGGCAACTCCTCTTCCTCTTCCTCTTCCGACCAGCCTTTGGACTGAAGTGCTGCATGGCAATGGTGACAAGGGATCCAAGAGCACTTCCAATTGCCTGGTAGGCTTCCTGACTTTCTTCCCTGGCTCTCAAAGAAGCTCTCTTGCGCTGTTCAACACAGGCCTCCAATGCCTTAATGAGGCCTTGCTGCTTTGAATTGGCAGAGTTGTAAGAACGGACACGAGGGGCTCTTGCTCTTCCAGGTGTAACAGTTCTTGCTGTTGCAAGAACTGGAACTGCCAAGGTTGGCTCTTCCTGCTTAGTAAGTTGTGAATCTTCTGTTTCTTGCAAGGAAGCTTGTTGGAGTACAAGCTGCGGAGGAAGGGCGGGCGCGTCGTTGTTGTTGCCATCGTTCCTGTCATGACTAACGTTGCCACTGTTGTTGCTGCTGTTGCTGTTTTCAGCAGCTGGAGCCCGATGATTTCCTTCAGGATCACCATTCCTTCCATCAGGATGTACATATCCTTCTTCAATATCAAAGTGCTCCTCTCCATCTCCAATGTCAGCCTTCTCTCCAATCAAGCGCTTGGCCCTCTTGGCCAGTTTCACTGCTAAAGGACAGTTAGGGTCTCCAGTAGGGATGTTCTTCCTATGAAGGGATGCAAACTTCCTACCGATGGAGTGGACATCCCTAGTATTGGTATCAGGATAGTTGTCAGCATGAGTTGCTTCCACTTCATTCCACTGGTCGCTCCCAATAGGAAGCCTTGCCAAGATCACGTACATCAAGTCAAAGGTTTCCTGAGTGGAATAGTTGGTTGTTCCTGACCTACAACCTCCTCCTGGTGCTGCTGGAGGAGCTTGTTGCTCCTGCTGTGTGTTTCTTGTTAGAACCATCTTGGATCGATGTTGTGGAGGAATCGATGTTGTTCTTTTTGTGTCTAGAATGCTGGAATCAACGCAGGAGGAATCAACGCCCCYGTGAACTACATGCGTTTTGCTACATTCCAAGCAGTTCCTCCCCTGGGGAAGGGGGGGTTCTCAGGGTTCTCAACTTTTAATTCCTGTTGACATGGCTCCATCAGGCTTCTTCCTTGTCTCCATGGTCCTTTTAGTGAGGATGCTAGCTATTCTGGCCAGTTACTTCAGATTTTGTATAGTGAATTGGTCATGGTTCTCGTGGCTCACCTGGCGTTCTGGATTTGTTTTGGCACGCTTGCTGGCACCATGTGTTCTCATTACTTAGTTTTTTGGCGCGCTTGCTGGCACCAAAATGCAGTTATTTTCTGGTAATTTGAAGCAAAATTCCCTATTCCAAATTAAGCACATGTAGCGAGACATATTCTATGACACGCAAATCTATGTAGTCACATTTTTATTCCCGTAAAGTCATAGATGCGATTTATGTCAGCATAGATTCTATGTTTACTGGAATCACCCATTCTCATACCAGTTGACTTTCCTGACATKTTTGGAGCCTACTTGATTGAAATCTTTGTGCGCTCATATTTCTATTCTTGTCCTATTAGAGCAAAGCAATGAAAAATTTAATGATCACACTATTTCCCACAAGCAGGCCTTGCACCAAGCATGCTGGTTAGCAAAGAAGAGAGGAGACACACAGACACTTTTTCTTCTCAACCCAAAACTTGTTGTCAAACTGCTGAAGTCACTCAGTTTCTCCCCTGACCCTGAAGCTTTCCCATCCAATGCCATCAACACTTCCTTTTTCTAATACTAATATAGTAGTACTAGAGTTTAGTATGAAAAAAATCTTCAGGAGCATTCAAGATGATACTAGTAGTACTCCTATTTCTACTACCAATACCAATCTGATTGCTTGTTAGTAGTACTAGTTCCCTCTACCATTGACTCAGAATTGTAGTAAACAACCACTGGAGAACTTCACTCAAGATATTCTGGTGTTTGGAAGTTGTAGTACATGGTCCAAAAAGAGATAAAAATACATTAAATATTTCCAGCGCACCTCCTTAGTAGCACATCTGTACTCCTACTACTAGTAGTACTTTGCAGTTTTGCTCCTCGAGGAGTGCTTTCACTCACAGCAACTAGTACTAGAAGGAACCTTCTCCCAGAAAGAAGAAGTAATGGTACTAGCTCCCCCAATACCTCTGCTAGATCACAAATTAAAATATTTCTTAGTCTTTTTTAGTGTGGTGTGTGGTGTAACATTGACATTATGCAATGCTCACATGTTTTTTGCTTAGTACTAGGCTTGTGTTTTTTTYCATTCCTGTTTTGATGGTGGTTGTAGCATGGCTTGTGGCTGAAGTTATCATGTCTTGGAAGTGGGATTCTCTTTCATCTACAATTAACCACCACTTTAATTTTGGACTGACCAATCATGATAATGACTCCWAATTATTAGTGTAGTAGTTGTCCTGTAAGCAAGGTTGGTACCCACCAAAATGTTGTCATGGAGGCCTTGGGTATTGGTTTTGATGTTGGCTTTTGCCTTGTTACTAGTAGTATGCTCTGTATTTGATTTGTGGTACTAGGATTTTTTGGTTCTTGTTGATTTCAGACTTACATCTAGTATCATAGAGTTGGTCAGCAATATCGTACCTCTTGGGCCATCTAATTACTACCGTGTAATGAGTCATGGAATTAAAAAATTGGCTTGTACTGCAGTTTACAGTGTGCACATGCGAGCAAAACTATTTGGAAAACTATTTGGTCGCACAAATGTGGGATTCAAAAATACAGCATGTGCAAGCTGTAAACTCCAGTACAAGCCAATTTTGAATCCCATGGCGAGTCATTACACAGTAATTAGATGGCCAAAAATTGATGCACAGTACAAAAAACACATAGGGCATTGGGTGACAGTCAACTCAGTTGAAYAGCTATAACTTTGTCCCCAATGGACGCTTAACAATGATAAGCACATGAATCAGATCCCAGTAAAAAGACGGATTCAGTGATATAGGGGGTTAAAAAGTATTGAGAGGTATACAGCGCTGTATGTCTGGTGATATTAAAAAATGTGCAAAAATTTTGGCAGTAAACACGTGGCCCACGCTATACAATAATACTGATTACTACAATGACTGATTTTGTTGAGTCTTGCAGGGAATTTAGTTCTTTTAAATATATTGTAATGACTGATGATAACAACAAGAATGACTGATTTTTTTGTCTTGTGATTTTGGTTCTCTTAAATCTTGAAATGACTGAAGATAACAATGACTGATTTTTTGAGTCTCAAGATAAAAGAATTGGGTTCTCTTAAATTTTGGAATGACTGACAACATCAAAGGGAATTTAGTTCTCTTCAATTTTGGAGTGACTGATGATGACAATGTCTGAATTTTTTTTCTTGGGGGAAATTTTAGGATTCAATTCAATTTTGGAATGACTGATGACAACAGTGACTGTTTTTTAAAATTCTTGGAAGGAAATTGGTTCTCTTAAATTTTGGATTGTCTGATCACAATAATGACTGAACATAAAGTTTGGGAATTTTGAAATGGCTGCTTTAAGTGTTTCTGTAAAAACTACCAGCAATATTTAAACTTGAATAATCTATTTTTTGTCATGTTAGTAATTTATTTGCTATTTTGGTGTACTAGTAAGGTCTACATGAATTGCACACAGAAAACAAATTTCTTTTTGTTTCTTTGTCTGGTAAGTCCAGTGCAGTAAGAATCATCAAGGCTAGTACTAGCTCCAGTCCAAAAGTATATGACAGTCCAGTGCACCATAGCCAATACAGATTTTTAGCTCATTTGAAAATTAAAATGAGCATCCAATGGACAGAAATAAAAATATTTTTGCAATTTCCATTGTTTAATTTCTCCCTGGTGCAAACAATGGATGTTATTCAGTAGTGAGCATCAGTAGTGAGCAGCAGTAATGGAGTTTTTTAAAGTAGAAGTAGTGACCACCAGTGGTGAGGATATTGGATCCTCAGTAGTAACAAGGACTGCTAATAGAAATATTTACAGACTTGCACAGTAGTCTTTATTGTAGTGAGGAGGGGGAGGGAGGTGAAATGTAGACAAGAAAATGAAAAAATATGACAGCCAAAATGTTGCCAAGAATAACGCACCAACAGCATGGGGCAGTTTTCTTTACTATTACTAGGACCACTAGTACTACTGCTAGCTAGTTCTACCTCGTCATACCTCTAATTCCCTCCTACCAAACATTATTTTAAGGTTCTCTTCTTGTTCTTTTGTTTTCCTGAACCAAAATTATTTTTTCCAGAATTAGTGAACAAGAAACTGCATCTCTACTAGCAATTTTTGGCCATCTTTTTACCATGTACTAATGATTTGTGAGATTAAAAATCTGAATTCATAATAGGATGTGTGAAGCAAAAAGCAGCTACATGGGAAAATTATACTTATGGGATTTAAAAAATTAACACTACTGGGCATGTGCATTTTGTATATGTTTAGTTTAGATTTAGTCAAAGTAGTAGTAGTCATTACACACAAAACAAGGGCCCCCAATGTACAACTGGATTGTAGATTTGGATGCTATCTGCATACAATCTCATGCAAGTTTCAGAGTGAGTATGTTACTACTTGGGTTTGGTTCCTTGGAGAGGTATCTCAAAAAAGAACTGGAAAATTCTGCTATTTGTGTGTTTATCTATCATATGTTTTGTTTCTCATTTCCATAGATTGAAGTTCTTTCCACCACACAGGATATTTCTGCACTTCTTTTCTTGACTTTTCCCACAAAACATCACTTTGGTCACCTTTCCACCTTTCAGCTTGTTTATTTTAGTACCTTGTCATTTGAAAAACTTCAGCTGTTGTTTTGTTTCTTCCACCAGTCASATACTATTAGTACTACTATCTCCTCCAGGACTGTCATGGCAACATGCAATACTATATGTAGTATCACAACCAATCTRATTTCTGTTTACAACCATTTGTTGATATCAAAAGGGAATTCCTGGGAGTGTGAAATGATATTTGGTGCTACTGTACCAGATCACCTAAACTACCAAGGTGTCAAAGATCTTGTTGGAGGAGTTGATTGGTCCAACCTTTTCAGGAGAGGAAAGTGTTGCACTTTTCCCTCTTGCTATGATGGACTGGTGGATAAACAAGCGAGGTCGATTTGTTGCTTTGAATATAATAGCAAGTATAAAGGCTGGCTTCATGTTTGTCATCAAGATTTCAAAAAGTCAGAAGGCATTGGCAAGATGGGGGGAAGTAGCATGAAGCATGTATCTCTTTGTATTGTCAACACAATAGAATGTATGAGAAGAAGAAATACCTTAAAAGAAGTAGTAGGAAACAAATAACTGCAAAGCAGCCTCGTTATTGAGATGGCAGATGGTATGAACAATGACCAGCCTTGTCCATTGTGTGATGTACTATAGTCACACCACTCACTTTTCAAGGCAATCTTTGAATGAAGCCAGCATAAGGAAGAGAGGACTTGGCACCTTCTACTCATTTATTTGTTTGCTATTATTAGTACCAAGAAGAATGAGTGATGTATAGTCCCACACTCATTGTTCAAAGCAATCTTTGAATGAAGCCATAAGGAAGAAAGGACTGGGCACCTTCTACTCATTTATCGATTTCGTTTGCCGATCTGAATTCTGACAAGAAAAGAGTGAGCTTGGAAAGCTCCGAAAAAAGGAAATAATTCAATATAAAATAGTTCCTTTTTGGTTCCAGGTGGAACTAAGTGACAGCTTGAGCTC